GGGGGGCGGGTGCCTGCCTGGAAGCCAGAGCAACACACGGAGGGAGTCCTCTGCCTCTCACCCCCCCACCCCTCCCCAGCCGCAGGGACATGATGCCAGCCACTTCATGGAGCGGTGCGGGACTCGAAGGGGGCAATCCTGTGGCTGTAGTTTGCCCACCCCTGGCCTGGAGGTAGGCCAGGCGGGGCAGGCACGGGCCGCTTGGCGGGCCGCAGGAAATAGCCCCACGGGCTGCATGTTCGAGACCCCTGCTCTACACAAAGGACTGATGACCCATCCCAGCTGGGGATGTACTCCAGAGACTTGATTTGAACCTGCAGCTTATTCCATCATTGCTACAAGCCTGAACCAAGAACTTTGCCATTACTGTATGTAATTGATTCCATTTAACCAATTCTAGCTCTCATCTATATCTTTTTCCGTTTATGAATAAACCTTTAGACTTTAGATTCTAAAGGGTTGGCAACAGCGTGATTTGTGGGTAAGATCGGATTTGTATATTGACCTGGGTCTGGGGCTTGGTCCTTTGGGATCGAGGGAACCTCTTTTCTTTTCCTGGGGTATTGGTTTTCATAACTATTTGTCCCCATAATGACTGGCACTGGTGGTGATACTGGGAAACTGGAGTGTCTAAGGGAATTGCTTGTGTGACTTATGGTTAGCGAGTGGGGTAAAACCAAAGTCTTCTCTGTTTGGCTGGTTTGGTTTGCCTTGGTGTGCATAGAAACCCCAGCCTTGGGCTGTAACTGCCCTGCTTTAAGCAATTTGTCCTCAATTGACTCTCTCAGTTGGGACCCGCCAGAACCAGCATCGGTACACCTTCACTACAGGCCCCACCTAAGCCAGCTCTGGGCACAACAACAGTGAGTCTCTGCCTGGGCTCCAAGGAAGCCCACAACAGCCTCTGAGGCTCCTTGCTTCATCAAAGCCCCAGCAGGCTCTCAGCAGCAGCTTCTGGCTTTCTAATGGCAGCTTGAGGTTTGGACAGAGCGCCATCAAGCAATCTCAGCTCCTCTCCAAAATGGAGCCCATCGCATGCTCTCTTTGTATTCCCTGAAAGTGGAAGGCTCTGGCTCGCTCGCTCTCTCTCTCCCCCCTTCCCCAAGGCATCATGAGAGGTGTCGTCCCCTAGGCTGCAATGCAGCGCTCAAGATCTTCCCAAATGGAAAACTTCCAATTAAGTTCAGAAGCCTCAGAGAGAGAGACTGATGTACATGTGTAAGTGGGGGAGTGCTCCCGCAGTGAGAAACTTTCCTGTCTTATACACTATCTCGCTGAAATGGACTAGCGAAAGGATCTGAGTCCTTGCTCCACCTCCCCTTACCCAGAGGCCTGCCTGACTTCAAGGACTCCCCTTCCACTCTCCTGTGTGGCAGAGTCCTCATAACCCCAATGAAGCTGTGTCCGGTATTCCTGGGAGGCTTGACCCCCGGTCTTGTCATGGTCACTTAGGACAGGGTCGAGGGTGTCCTCACTCCAGGTTAATCTCTTCACACTAGACACTTCCCTGACCCACTGATCATTACATATAGTTCAAAGCATGGGCAGCGAGTGCACCCCCGCTTTGGGGAGGCTAGCCCACTGGCCCCACCCCTTCTGTCCAAGGCCCCCCTCTCCCACACACCAGAACCCAGAAAAAACACACACACCCATAAAAGGA